TTGATGTAAAAAGTCCACTTTCAAGATTTCTGTATGTCAGATATTTCCTCTGAAAGGGTCAAATTATTTGTGTAAAACTTCAATCGTTGTCAGAGGCAAGTGGTGATTAGTTATTTTCCAAAGGAATAAATCAGTTATGTACTCATTGGTCGAAATTGTGATTGAGTTCTATGATATAATTGACCTTTTCCTTGTCACTAAATATCGTAGAGCATTGCGTAATCGACTTTTGAGTTTTGAGACGACCACTTGCTGATTAAGCACCTTAAAAAGAGGGTTTTTTTTTATTTTTTTTGGAGAAAATTAGTTTTGAAATACTGATTTTTTAATGGTTAAAAAAGTAGAAAAAAAGTTTTGGATTTATGTGCAAAATACTTTATTTTGTGAATGTGTGAATAAAAATGAATTTGAAAAAATAAAATAAAATGAATTTTGGTTTCAAATACTTTGGTTGGTGATTGTTGAGGTGGGACAATAATTAAGAAATTAGCATGGGATGATAACAAGCCAAGTCAAAGAACGAGGCTCAATCCCTTCTATAACGTTATTTGACGGACAAGATAGCTTTTTCACCAATGCCTTCTCCCATTTGTTTAATCTACTTTGTAGATAATGAGAGTGACATTTGTTAGACTTTTTGAACTTGTATGATTAGGATCACCGCTTCAAATATCTAAAAATCAAAGTGATGCTTTTTATACCAGACATTCAAAGACTTGACTCTCGTCGTGTGGAATTGTAATCCTCATAATTTTAAGTTATGTAGCCTAATTATTGTCGATCCTCATTATTATCACTTCGTGGAATTGGTCGTAGATCGACCATCGCGGGGAGATCGCCGTGGGGATTGGAACCCTCCTGTCCCTAGACCAAAATTTAATCTAAGGACGGTTTAGGAAGTTGTATTCTTATAAAATTCTATGAAGAAAATTGACTCCTTGTAAAATTCGATTTTACCCCAATTTATCTTATAAATAGTGAGTTGTCCTTGACCTTTATGATTATCATAAAAAAGAGAGAGCGAGAGGCTAGAGAAGATAAGAGTGTGATTTTCTCTTATAAACCATTTTTTATCATAGTGAATAACTGTAACTGCACGATGGGACGTAATCTAGCATGTTCATGAGTGTTTTTTCTTCTTTTTTTTCTTTGAATTGATTGCTTTCGATGGAATAGAATTAAGATTTATAATTCTCAATACATAAACATATAAAAAGTATTAATCATGACTTGACATAAGTGGTAGTGCCTACTGCAAATCTGAACGTTGTCTATATCGTGGGGTTTGAATGCTTTATTGGCTGTTCATGAGTGTTTTTTCTTCTTTTCTTTCTTTGAATTGATTGCTTTCGAT